GCATCTTCTAGATGGATCTGACGTTCTCAGGCTCAGAATGACGGCCACTGGCATCGAAAACGAAACCGAGGTATTGGATTGATGGAAGAAAGAATTGCCATTTCTCCTTTTTCAAACGAAAACGACTCATAGACACGCTGAAGGCCTGCAAACGGGCGCCCTCGTGGCTCTTCGGAGGTGCGACCAACAATGAGTATAACGTCCAGGTACGCAGCCGCAGCCGGAATGCCAGAGATCATGGCGTCCATTATTCGATGGAGAATGGCCGGAACGGTTTTGACACCAAACGGGAGCCTGGTGTAGTGGAGAAGACCACGAGGTATGTTAAGCGTCAACAAGGATTGTGACTCAGGAGCGACTTCGATCTGCAGGTATATGTCTGCCAGGGCGATTTTAGCAAAACGCGTACCACCATTGAGTTTTGTGAAGAGGTCGGCTGGGATCGGTAGTGCCTAGCAATTTGGCTTTAGCGCAGCGTTGAGACCGGTGGAGAAATCCGCATAGATGTAACGGGATGCACTCGGTTTCTTGACCACGATGATCGGTGCTGCCCAGGCGGTATAGGACACAGGCACCAGGACCCCCATGTCTTCCAAATGTTAAAGTTAAGTATCGACCACGAGCAGGGCTACTTATGGGCCAGAACTTTTGGGATGGAATGCCGACTGAGCGCCAGGTATGAGGTGTAACGCGACGCGAGGGCGTTTACAGCCGTCAGGACCATCCTGGAACACCGGGGCGTACTGTCTGATGAAGTCGTCGGTTCGGTCGCTTGGTACTGTTGGAGAATGTACCGCATTGCAGATGCCCCAAAGAGGGAGATCGGCCAAGCCGTGTTTCGAGCCAGTCGAGATCGAGTAGCTTGAGCTTCGCCCTCGTGATGTAGCAGTTCTCGTTGAATGCGGCGCCTCGGAAGGAGACGGAGCAGTGCAGCTGCCAATTTAGCTGCACGCGATCATCACAGACGCTGGTGGCTGATAGTGCGGTCGGTTCGAATGGAGGCCTGCCAAGGGATCGCCAGAGATCCTCGGAGATGATCGTGATGTCCGACGCAGTGTCCAACTGCAATCGGACGGACTGACCGTTGACCAAGACGACGAATTTTCTACGATCCGCAGCGTTGACTTGGAACGTGGCCAGCAGTCTCAGGGAGCTGCCAACCGGACCAGGTTTGGGTTTGTGTCTGGGTCGGGACCTCTTCTTTAGAACGCGGGTCGGGGCCAGCCCAGTTTTTGCCCCCTTGGGAGTTGTAGGATGGCAGTAATCACCCCGGTGCCCCACCCCAAAATGTTGGCGTCGGTGCTGGTGCAAGTGCATTACCGGTGGAAACGACAGGCACCACAGCATTGGCACGCCTATGGTGAGGACTTCGCTGGGTTGGATTTCGAGGGGCGCACGGATGATTGCGCCCTAGGTGCTGCGACTGCCTGGACGATACCAGGTGTGGCGATGTTCTGGATCACGGCCGAGTCTTGCTTCAGGTTCAGCAGCTTTTGACACTTCTCGGCAGAGTTCTGGCGTGTGAGAGTGTTATCCTGTTGTAGCTTGGATAGGAGGCGAGTCCGGACATCAACCTCCTGTGCAGACTGGAGACCCGAGAAGAACGTCAGGCATTTTAATTGGTCTTCACTGAGTGAACTGAGTTGAAACTGCTCGCATTCACACTTGACTACTCCAGCGTACGTGATGAAGTCGTCGGCAGCCCGCGTGACGAGCTGCAGACATTGATAACGAGTATTGCAAAGGGAGGACTGCTCGCCAAAATTCTGGGACAAAATGCGGACCGTCTCGTTGTAGGGAACGTCTCTTGAATTCTTCGGCAAAATGAAATTGGTATAACATTGGTGCTCGAGCATAGCCAGTTTGCGCAGAAGCAGCCGGGCCTTCTACGCGTCATCCTGGCAGGCCAGGTCAACGGTGACCAGGTCTTCGTACCGCTTATACCAAGATTTGAACATTACCCTAGCCTTGACGTCGTACAGGAATTTACTGATGCCGCTAACGACATGGTCCACTGCTTGAGAGTTGCCAATCAGACCTGCATGAAGGGAAGAACTGGAAAGTTTTTCGGTTAGCACGGACATCAGTTTGAGTTGCTGCACCAGCATAAGTTTCAAGCCGGCGTACTCGTTCGTCATGCTTCGAAAGCTATGCCGTCGTCACTGCAATGGATTTGCGCAGACCTGGTCGCATTAGCTTAGTCGAAAGTTACGCATAACGTGAGCACGACCCCTATTCACGCGCATATTCGAGTGACACGCTAAGTCCCCGAAAACGGACGCACACGACCAGGGACTAGACGCGCGAAACACGCGGCTAGAGCGGCGCACACACGATTTCTAGCCATCCGCACGTGGTTACAAGAGAAGACGAAGCGGACCTCTGAGAGTTCTTTTACGACCAAGAAAGACCGAATCACAGTTGGCACAATGCTTCATTTTGTGGGTGAAATGAATCACCACATAGGGCACGTGGTTTATGAAAGAGCATTATTCACTTTTGCCGCGTTGCGCCACCATTTGGTCTGGCTGGATCCCGCTACGTTGTGAGAAGGAATTGAACTCCGCGTCTCGTAGACCACGCACTGGATTTTGTGGCACATTTTTGCCGGGTTACTTGACGTACTCGCAGCACCGCCAACAGTTTTCCTTCGGGGTCGAGTAATTGAAAAATCGGTAACTATATATTTGAGCACTATTTCTTATTAGTATTGACGCTTCTGCTGTATCGCGTGGTGTTTGATTGTTCCCAGTTACCTTCATTTTCGCGTATTCTTTATTTCATCAGCTCAAGTGGTCGTGGCTAGTACTGGGCTCCAGTCCACTTAGCTGTTGCTCCCTAGGTCATTTCCTTCTTTTGTTCGTTCGTTGACCGCTTTCCTCGGCGTGCATTATACGTTGTGGCTGCATCACGTTGGGCGAAGCTAGTTCAAAACATGGCATAGAGGTTTGAAGAAATTGACTGAGAAACTTAAATAAATAAATAAAGCGTTTGTTCTCGGCAAGGCGAGGCACACCTTTACAGGCGTGATCATTTTGACAAAACAATGCGTGATCAAGAAGTTGCAAAAATCCGATATGTGTGCCATAAAAGTGCTTGTTTGTGTAGGGGGAATGTAAGTATGTAATTGTGTGTGCGTTTATGTAGCTGTGTAACTTGCGCTGGTAATTGTGCTGCTCCATTCTTGAATGTTTGCTATCGTCTGCAAGGTGCGATTGGAAGATTGGTGTCCGTGGGTTGGAAAGGATTATCGAGATATCCACGGGGCAGTGACTTTATTTTGTGGCGAGCCACGACCGCCACGTCAAAGTGTTGTTAAGCAGACATTTGTGGCTTTTTATAGGGAGAACGCTTGCCAGGCGAAAACCCACCACGTCCTGGAACACTGCCGCCGAACTATTAGCTGGAACGGGTAAAACCCGAACCACCCAGCTGGCACCACGAGGAGGTTGTTCGGCTAGCCATGCCGTCTCCCTGGATGGGACCCTCTGGATGGTCCACGCCAGTGATTGGAGACCGTATCAGTCATGACGCAGTCATGCAGCGAGTGGGGTTCCTGCATTCGGTTTATTGCAATTAGTTGTTACATTTCATTCCATTCTGTTTAATTTAACGCCCCTCCTTGCTTCCATTTTCCTTACATTCCATTTATATGCAACCCCACTATCTTGACGTTGTTATTTATTGTTATTCTTGCGATGTGAGTCGTGGCAACTCGATCCACCGCATTTCGGTGCTCGGGTTTTAGTTATTCAACTGAACTGAAGTATTGATCCAACTCGGTAGCCATCTTAAACAACCGTTCAAATGCAGCAGTATGTTATCTGCTTCACTGGGTGCTTGCTTTTCGCTCATGTGAGTACTTGACACTCACTGATCACAGCCAGGTGATAGGTTAAACTGAGTGATAACTACGCTGCACGTAGGTTTCGACGATTGAGCATTTAGCAACGCTTTCTGATGCGCCCTCCTTTGGCAAATTCATTTACGACTCCGGTACTGCTTTCTGATTACGCTTCTTATCCTCGCTCACATCTTTACACATGGCGACGAGCAAGCGAATCGACTCCATACGTGGGAACCCAAATGGATTGGAAGGTATGTGGGGTGATGGACCAAAACTTGTTACAAGTACATCTCTTTCCTTGTTGTGATGTTTAGGATGCCGTGTAGGCTTTCTTTGCACATGGGCGGCTCTTGGAATTTGACGTTTGCTTTAGTCTCATTTGCGACCTTTTGAACCGATCTATTTATCTGGCATCGAGGTCTACTATACCTCTCACTTTGGGATAGGAAGCTTACCTGTCGGTCGACTAGCGTAAAACGTAAGCATGAAATCGCGTCAACGTCAGTGTGATTTTGTTAACTTGGATGAATGAGTACGGATCGCATCACCCTCCCAAACGCAGTCTGTTGGACGCCACGGTGCTATCTGAAAATCCATTATAGCATTTTGTCATTTTCCACGGTTCCGGCTACGATATCGGTTGCATCATTGTTCCATTAACTTAGCCAGAGAACAGCAGTCGTTTGATAGCATACCATAGTGTATGCCTTATTTTACATCGTGTAACACCAACGCATTCGAGTTCTTCATCTATCGGACTAGCGATTCGAACCCACCGTACCGGACCAGTTCATTATTTGGAGCGTATGCCTGTGCAAACTATCCGGCTGCGTTCATGCTGTACCTCGCACCCTCTTCATCCCGCTGTAGCAATAATGTGGTCATGGTTTTGTCTTTCGGTAATAAACACATCCGTATACTTGGTGCGTTTAGATACGATGTGACTGCCGGTCACGATTTTCAACTAAGCCGTCTACGCTTCTGGGAATAGCTAGGCCCAATTTTGTAACTTTTATCGATCGCCTTAACTTCCAAAGTCCTCAGCTGTCGATTAATTACTGTAGTCTGTCCCCTCCCATGAATTGATGTTTACGTTTGCCTATACTGCACTAAGTTCGAGACTTCATCCCTCACTCCTACATCTCCATTTTAGTTGGAAGTCAAAGTGGGCACTCTGACTGATAAAGTTGATGAAACTGAATCTCGAAAGCGTCAACTGCAGGAGACTGTGGACAACCTCAATGCTGAAGTTGCCAAACTACGAGCTAACGAACAACTCCTCTCTGGTACGGATGTACAAAGCCAACAGATCCTTGCTGGTCAGTCGTCTATCCGTGCCAAACTCGATGAAGAGTTTAAGCGTCAATCGGAACAATACGCAGTTCAAGTTAAACAACTTCGAGACGAGCTGGATGAGAAACAGAAAAAGCTGGAAGAGATGAAGGACGAGGTGCACAATCTGAGATTCCGGGGTGACAAATCAGATGAGGAATTGGTTCGCCTTCGAAAGGAGTACGAGGAGAAGTCAGCTAAGCTGGACTTGATGGAAAAGGCTGCGGAAAAGCGGGAACAGGCTAAGCAAGACTTACGTGGACTCGAAGAGACTGTCATCAAGGAACTGCAAACTTTACACAACTTACGCCGCCTGTTTGTTCAGGATCTCAACAACAGAATCAAAAAAGTGAGTTCTTTCGATCGTTTCACACTCCAACTTTCTTTGAATCTCCTATTCAAACAGATTCATATCTATAACTTGCTGGTTGTCCTCAGGCGGTTGAATCCGTCAATTATCATTGACATGAGTATCGTAAGACAGGGAGCCACGCACTCTTCCTATTTCTGCACTAAGCTTGACTTTCGAAACTGTCGGACGAACAACCGAAGACTCCGTCGTTTGTGATTGCTGTGTTTCCTCTAACATTGACTCCTTGTGCCCATTTCGAATTGTCAAAGCACTCTAATTACTCATTGCTCCTTGGTTGCCCGTTACTTCTATGTGACAGTTAGTTGTCACCTAGGTCTGGTTTATGTCTTCATACTGATGATGTGATCACCTATTACCATCATCTCGTTAGGGAGCAACCATGCAGCCTCCATCAATGGTCACCCTTTGAATCAACGGATCCCTGTTTTTCCGGCACCGATTTCATCACTGGGACACATATCGGTGTACTTCGCTCCCATCCTCATGACACTGACCAGGTAGTCGAGGTAGTTGACCTTCTACCACATCCAACTTTTAACCTACAAACGTTTTCAGTGTTGCTGACTTCCACCGCTACATTCTCCGACTAGTTTCTTCCTTGTCTGCACTCTTTAACTAAAGACATCCGGAGCTGGGAGTGGAACTCGGAGCCTAGTGCTTAATAGCTGACGCCTGGATCACTGATCTGTTCGACACTCTGGAGGTCCGTCTTATTCACTCTGCCTGCCTTTACATATTCTGGCTTCGTTAATTATGGCCGTTCATTGCTGTCCAAGTATAGGACACATATTAGATCATTCCGCAAATCGAACTTTTCTTTTAACCAGCCTTGTACCTCAGACACGCTCAACGACTGCCACTTATCATCTTCTGCATCCACCTTATTCGTTGAGATGTGAATAATGATCACCGACGACTATTCTCCGTTGTTTGTTTCACTTTTGTTCGCTGAGGCGGTTGGAGCACTGTTTTATTCCCGGTGGTGATCAGATGGGAATTCAAAATACTGACTTGGTAGGTTCCCTGTCTCTTGTATTGCAAGACGGTGCGCATCGGTATTGCTCTCTTTTTTCCGTCATTATCTTCTTTCTACTTTCACCAGACCATCGGTTCCCTTGATAAACCATAACCATGAGAATGGGAAAAAGATGGCCATGAATGGAGGTGTTTCGGGCTGTTATTTCCAGCGTTATCCTACCCATCCATAAGGACAGCATCTCTCTACTTTAGTCGCGTCTACATCTGTCTGACCAAGACAGGCAGACAGACAATAACAACAGTATCTCAGCTATCCAAACTGATGCTTCGCTGCCGTACAGCCACAATTATCCACGGAAGTGAGAATAATCAAAGCTAAAGAAGGGGTACCTAACGTAAAATATAAATGCGCCTAACAAACATTCAGTGTCAAAGCGCCTACACCTAGTCAACAGCATACCGTCACAAACACCTGACTATGTTACAAAGATAGGGCGGCATCGGCGAAATAGATTCCTTGCGGCTTTCATTGTCCCGCGTCAAAGTTAGTCATTACTCCGCAAATAACTTAGCATCAGACACACTTTAATCAGGCAGTTCAGCTATGAGAGATGGCAAATGCGCCACTAACGTTTACTGCGAGTCATGTCCCATAGCGCCTTGAGCCAAGAACATGGATGCCACGTAGACTGCAGCTTGGAAGGCGAAATGGACTACTAGCACCGAGTTTGGTAGTCATTGACTTCATTTCCCGCCGCCACGTTAACTCTTACTCACCTCGAGCCTTGCGCCATCCTATGTTTGTCAAACAAAACAAGGCCGGCCCGTAGCTTAAGGGTAACGTGCTTGTCTTGCGATCTGATGTCACGGGTGCGAGCCTGCCTAGGGGCAGAGTGACCCTCGCAGTATCCTTAGCCCACCTGCGATCGGTGGTGGTTGCTCGGCAACGAAGTGTCGTTACCGCGTACTTGCGAACTGCTGCTGCCTTAATCCAGCCCGTAGCCTTAAGATAACGAGCTTATCTTATAATCTTGTGGTGTGGGCTCGAGTCTGCATACGGGCGGGGCAACCCTCACAGTATCCTCAACACCCCCACGTGCGACCGGTGATGGTTGCGCGGTAGCGAAGCGTCGGTACTTCTTATCGGCTTACTGCTGATGCCTTTTTCTGTCTTTGGTAAGCGGTGACCGGGCATATGTAGTACGTACCCAATGCAGCGCAACTTATTCAGTGCCATCTGTTGTTCCAAAGAACTAGTGTACTTATCACTGCCTAGCACTGGCCTACGCACATCGTTACGGACGTGCCGGTGCCATCCGACACTGGCAATGCTTCACAGAAAGCAATAATGAAAGATTTGAAGGCATCTCAGAACTTCACATCGACGTGGCCAAGTTTCTCTTCCATGGAGTAAAACGATCCCTCACTTTGGCCTTGTAAACACAGGCTTTCAGACCGAGGATAACCTTTTTCTGACGCCACAGATGTCGCAGACACAAAAAAGCAGTTCTAGCTTTTGTAATACCTGAGCTGATTTCAGTGATTACACGCTGATGCAGATGATCAACTACCTCGAGTTCCTCGTTATCGAGGGTCAAGGGGTCATCAAGTGACTATTGGTCCTGCAACAACACTTTGCAATTTGAAGGTGCGAAACATACAAAACGATAGGACCACTGTAGATAGGTTATTCAGAGTTTACTGGGTCGTCCCAACATCGTTAACCGGAAAGACAGTATCGTCTGCATACATAAGATTCACACGTATTTTGCCAGTCAGCATCTCAACGCCCGCATCTTAAAATCCCGCAAGGAACACTTCATGATGGAGTCCACGATGAACTTGAACGAAAGTTGTGAAATTGAGCAACCTTGACGAATGCCGCATGTTGTCTGGTAAACATCCAACAAGTCATCATAACTTCTGACGCGGCCTTTAGTGTTCGAGTACAGAGCATGTAAAATGTTCACCTATTTTATTCCACGCAAATATTTCGAACAGATTGGATCGATCGATTTAGTAGAACGCAGTATGATAATCAAGCAACGCAGCTATTGTCCGTCTGCGGTAAGTGTGACGCTACTCCAACTGCTGGCGCAGAATGAGTATAGATCTATACATATCCGTCCTAGGCGGAAACCGGCCGGCATTTCAGTTATCCAGTAATTTGACCGATTAGAATTGAGGCTAGTACTTTTTATCACCACTGCCGTTAGCCTAACACCCCTGTGGTCAACAGATTCCTTCAACCGCCCTTTATCCATTACTACTATGATAGATTCACTCCAATTAGTCGGGTCGGTCTCTTCTTTCCAGCTCTGTTCGAATAAGGAGGTCACTATTTTGCAGATGACCACACCACCATCCTTAAATAGCGCACGTGCAAGGTAATCTAGACCAGCAGCTCAAATACGGGGGCTGTGATCGCGTTTCGTACCTCACTCTTTGATGGCGCTTCTCAATTCACTCGCCATAGCACCACCTCGGCAGGAACAGGCCCGATAGCAGGGGGATAACTGAACTGTTCTCGATAATGCTCCGCCAACCTAGCCAGACATTGCTCCATATTGCGAATTGGTTCGCTCGTATTCTCTGTCTCACTGACGCCTCGGTTCCTTATACCACTGGTGCGGCTCGTCTAGAAGTTTGTGATAATTACTGTCCCATATATTCCACGGATTGGCACTCAATAAAATTGCACATGCTTTACATCTTAGCATACATTTATTTCGAATGGGCGGCAGATAAACACTTGGACCTGCCTCTCGAAAGAGGATAGACTTCTAGGAATGCTGTTTCATACACATTTTTCGTTTCTCTCTGTCATGATTATCCGGGAATGGTTGCTATTCATTTCCATAACACTACGACTGAACACAGAGTCGATGTGACACCGGGTTTTAACTTTCCCACTAATTTTAAACGTCATCAGGCTCGCCGTCCGTTTTTAACCAGACTGTTTGTAGGTCACGGTGTTTCATATGCACCGGAAATTCCTCATTTGTACCAGTCGGTTGCTTTGGCTTTCGTTTGCTTTTCGCCGACTCCAACTAAATTGCTCTAGTGTTTGCATTATACTACTTCTGGTTTCTTTTCGTTGCCTATATGATGCACAGACCATCGGTTGATTCCACTCCCAGTTCCCCATACTTGCCTCCGACCGAATTGGCAGCGGTCGTGGATTGCACTTTCTCTTCAGTTGTACTGCCACACACCAGGACCATGCTGAGCTATACCGTAAATGTCTGGGCTCCTAGCCCACTGTTATCTAAACTCGTTACTTCTCCTCTTCCACTTAATCATAGTCAGCGCTCTGACACTCTGAAAATGCGTGTGTGTGCACCATGTGCTTTAGTCACTGCGTGGTAACCCGGTGATGGATCCAATTTGTGTTTGCTGTATTGTTTGCCTCGATTAAGATCTGTTATATCGCTGTCGTTCAAAACGAACCAGCGATCTCTACTACATTGTTTCTCACACAGAGCATCTGTGCGGTACTCATCTCGTCGAATCCTAGCCACCGAACAAACCATGGATAAGATCATCCTTCAACAGAGTAACCCCACATGCGAATGACGGACGCGAACCCCACGGTTTACCTCTAACCAAAAAACTGACCCTCGATCAAAACGCTTGTATCGGCTCAGCCGAAAGCGAACAAAGAATTGCACACGCTTATCTTTATAGCACAATTAATTCGCCACCTCTAGTTTGGCAAGGCGAAAGTGTGCACCGAACTCGGTTGTAGTGTGGATGCCGCGCGGATACGCTTCTGAAGGAACGTGTGACTCCTTGTGCGGAGGCGTAACCTTCCCGTAACAAGATCAGTTTCGTTGTTTTAGTTGTCATCGCTTGCTACGTTTTTGGCATTAATAGCCCACTTGACATTCTATCGAACATATATGCTCCATCATTTACTCATACCATTAGTCTGAATTGCTCCCTACCTTTCCTTCCGGAATTTTGGTCTCAACTCTGTGTCTCATCAACAGTTGTCCCCGAGAGAATCAATCGACCCGCTAGATTTTTGTTTTGTTCTAAACGCATACATCATAGTCGTTTCTCCAGACTTTGTCCTTTTATAGGTGCATCCCTCAGCGTAACCCGTACAGTGCTGATGAACAATCGCCTCTGATCAGTCCATTTCGCTGTTCATCTAACAAAGCAGTTTTGCTGTTTTCCATTTGTCGCAGTCCGCCGGCCGCATGAACGCTGCAGCCGGTAATCAACAAGCCACAGTCAACTCTGGTTCCCCTGCTCAGCAACAAACCCCCACCGCCAACGATGCGTCACTGAACGTCGATCTGGAAGACGATGATGCTACTCACTGTGGCTCATTGGCACAACGTGAGAAGATTGTGTTTCTCGAATACAATTTGGATAAGCTAACTAAGGTTCACAAGCAATTGGTGCATGATAACGCGGAGTTACAGTGCGAATTACCCAAGTTGGAAAAACGTCTCAAGGTGGGTCACTGTCTTTTTCTCCCTCCAACCCTGACCTTCCACATGGCGTTTGTGTTCAGTCCGCTCACCTAATTCTTCGCCGCTTTTGTTTTCCTGTTCACGTCCGGGTTCCCTCGAGAAATACCACTTGAACTCTGCAAATTCGTTGCAAATGTTTCGTCACAACGCGACTTGACATCATCGACTTACTTCGGCTGTGTCACGTCGGTTGCAGCCAAGTTGTTATACTTGGTGAGCAGCTAAAACCTGTGCAGCTTGTTCGACTTTGTTTGTAGTCAAACTGCTACCCGTGTGGTTTAGATGTAAAATCGCCTATCTGGCTGTAGTAACTGTCCCTCCGGATTGGGTTTTGCTTTTTCTCTTCGCTCTTTAATCCCAATCATTAATAACTCGCTGCTATTTTCTTTTTGATTTGGTATTCTGGCCATAGCTCATCAACACTTGATGTGCTATCGTTCTGAACCCATTTTGGATAATACGCCACAATCGTGTCTATTTTTGGTCCCCTTTGGCGCTGTAATCCAATTTGTACTCCTTCGTATAGTGGTGGCATGGCCAACTAATTTGGTCCCATTAATCTTGCTCCTCAGATGGCATTAAGCAGCAAGGTTGCCTCCTAATAATTATCGTTCCCATTCTTGTTTGCACCTTAGGATCAACTACCATGCACATAAGTCGCTGGAACGGCCTGCTCGATCTGTTTTCTTACATCTGAACCGTGTCTACCAACGTCGACTGTATCAATTTCCATCTGCATCAGTGTGATCGCTTCTCATTGACTCACTTCCCCTCGGATTTCGTCTAGCTCCCTTCAGAAAATTTCGCTAGTAGACATTGTGTTTTACAAAACATTGTCTTCTACCGCCTTAACCTTACTTTTCATGTGATAGCAGAGGCTACTGAGCCTCTTTGTGTGTCCGCGTCTGTTATGATTCCAGGTCTTTTGTGCCAGCCCTTCGAGTCCAGTGCCCACTGCGCTTCAGGATCATAACATTCTCTTTTTCAGGTCCCAATAAGAGGGACATCATCCGCACTCCATTGCACGCTCTTCCCTTCACGGTGGCAAACTTACTGACCTTAATTATGCAGTCAGTTACATCATTATATTTACAGGTGTGCCGGAGACCTTTTCATTTGTGGAGTGGTTAGTTTTGCGTGGAAGTGGTGTCAGGGCTTTTGCATGATCGCGTTCATCACAATAATAATTTGGCTCATGATGGATTCAAATGAATGAGCAGTTATTGCGGCTTGTGCACCTCAACTGTGGATCTGGTTTACTCATTCAGCTAAGAGATATTAGGGGCATGTGTTTCCCTGAAATGTTATTGTCATTGAACATCGAGCCGAATATGCAAACTACAAGAACATGTAATTCAATGGTTTCGTCAAGTTAAATGCACCATGGGTCCCAAGTGTCAGTTTCATTCCAACTTATTTTGGTAATCCATGCTGATACTAACCACCCGGAACAAGCTTGTTTGCTTAGCTGACTGTTGTTTTGTTTGTACTCTCCGTGCTTATTTTCACAGTCATCTCTGAGCGAAATCTCCGACTTGATCTCATATCTTGGCATGTGCTTCAAATTGTGAAATTCCGTTATGAAAGCACCGACCGCTCGTTAACCATTTTCGATTTCGACACTGTATAGTTGCGTACAGTTACTCAGTTTGTCTTTGTTGGTAGCTGCGTCACCAAGTGTGTGTTAACTCGGAAACTAACCCGTATTTTTGAAGGTTAGAACTTAGTGCATTTTCAGTGTATTTTTCTCAGTAAGTGGATTACCCTTGGTATTAATAGCAACACATATGGGACAAATGTGATAGCCTTCTTCCTCTTTGAGGATGAAAACTGTGTCCTCGATCCGAAGTTTTCAAGTGTCTTAGTCCTTCGGCTATCGTTGCTCACAACTGGCACCAGCGTGTTCGCAACCCTGACGTCCACTAGTGATGATGACCAGGTTAACTTTTCCACTTAGGCCAGAGTTGCATAAAAAAATATTAGGAGCAGTAAACATCATGTAAATGCACTTCAGAATGTCACTGCAGTTACGGGTGATTCTTCGTCAGTTCCAAAGCAACTGGAACTTTCGGAATAGACCGAGGGTTAATTCCAGATAATCGACCACAAAGAAAAGGATCCATCATGGTTCACTCATCTTAGAGACTTGTCATTGCTTCCCCCCCCCCCCCCCCCCCGCGAAGATATGAAAGAGAGCGGCCTAATGACACAAGCTGCTGTCTCATGTAGCTAGTTGTCGTGGATTCGGGTCCTGACGGAGCCAAAGGATGCTCACTACTGACGATTCCCGACAGGACGAAATGATTGTCTAATGCTTTTTCGGAATTTGAAGCTACTGCCAACACCCCACAATCGAATGTAGCCGAATAACTTGTGCTTGGCACGTGACACGTGTTCCCTAACATCGCTTAACGAGGAGAGCTTTGCTTTGTCCATTCTTTGTTGATTAATGCCTGGCTCGAGCCAGCAGCCTATACACCTAGCAGTGGTATTCAGGTTGGTGTACAACTGTTTACCTCTGCCATTGGTGCCACTATCAATAACAGAGCGGTTTTCAGATGTTTGCTCCATGGCTAAGCTTGTATGACCTTTGTCTGATTTGCCCATTCGCTGCTACGAAGCTCACATATTGCTAATTAACTCCACTATATGGTAAAATCGTCCCCCAATCCTACTCACCAGATCACTGTGGAACGCGTGCGTAGCTTAGAGGCCTCACTGAAAGAAGCCAAGGAGGGTGCTATGCGGGATCGAAAGAGATACCAAGCCGAAATGGACCGAATCAAAGAAGTGGTGCTCCAACGAAACGTACTCGCCCGCCGAGGTCAACCACACATCGCCAAACCCATTCGTGCAGGCCATGCCCCATGCAGTCCGCATACGCAATCTAACTTTGGTCCATCCGCTGGGAGCGCACGCTTGGGGACCATGGGAGCGCCTTGAACCTCATATCATCTACCTCCGCTTGACGGTCGCATTACCAATGACTCACCATATCACTCTGATTGAAGAGCACGATGTAAGTTCTCTTGAGAACGATCACGTTGCTGTTTACTGATTATTTCTACGGATGGCAGTGCAACACGAGCTAAGCTGTTGGATGACCCTGACGTTGATGCCTGTGCAGTCAATAGGGAAGCGCAGACATGCTACGGTGATGATAGCGTACAGCTTTTACCCCATAAAATGTAAGGAACGCATTTCTGTGGTAACAACTAGCCTACTTTTTCGAAATCGTATAGATGTAGTTGACTGGACTTGTTTCATTACACCAGTACTCTACGCCGTCCTAGTTTCTAATGAATGAGTGTCTTTTTGCCTCACAGAATTGCATTTTCTCCGTGATCATTAGCATTCCCGACTGTTCTAGTTCATTTTTTGTCTCCTTCCCCTCAGCATACATCTGTGTCCGCATACTTTCGCATGCAAACTTCAGTCTCTTCCGTTTATTCTGTTACTATTGCCACAGTCGTTCTGTCTACCTTGTCTCCATCTCCGTTTTTCACAGTTTTATTGGTATCCACTCTTTGTTTCAGGCCGGTCGTCACGTTTGATGCAAGCGTCAACTTGAAGAGGACCGTTGGCACAACCACCTACTCTTTTGTTTGTTCATTTTGCCGAAACCGTGCTCGTCGATTCCTTATCTCTCCCTGTGTCTGACTTCTCTTTTCGCACCTCATCTTTCTTCCACATATATTCTATTTGTGAACGCTTTTTCCTCCACCGTGTGCGTCACTTGTAGGTGCGGGTCCGTAGTCGTTGACGGTACTTTATTAATTATACATCCGCGGCCTCGCACACATACTGAGTACGTAAAGTTGTGCGAAGTTGCATTACTTAATTCTTGACTTTGTAAGCAAGACGTTCCCGCAGTTGTGCCATCGTATATTACGTAATTGGCTTCTCCAAACGACCGTCAATCCTAACAAATTAGTCTTCCGATACCCGCAGTACTGTCTTAGTGTGTGGTGCGACGAAGCGTTATCGGGTATATTGCGTTCAGAATCTTCAATTCTAATGCCATCGAGTCGTTGATTGGTTCTCCGTGGTGAGTGGTTTGATTGCGGATGTTCCGTCACAAATCTGGGCGATATCTTCAATGAGTAGTAGCTAGCAGATATCGAGCCTCGGGCGAATCCAAGAACGAGTGCCGTCTGATACGGAGCTGTTTTTCATATGCATTCCAAACGTTCGCGGCAACGCTTCATCCGGACTGCTTGCCTCTTTGGGCACTCAGAAATACCTAAGCGACCTCTGTTGGCTGATGTGAAACTTGCTGCGAATTAGGATGGCACCTTGCAATTTCATTGGTGCAATAGCCATCCTGTTTAAAGAACGCCGTTACAACGGCTCTTCTATATGTTATTCGGTCGATGGTCTATGTCGGTTTAAGTCGCGGTTTCCAATCCGTCCTTTTTCTTAGTTCTCGGATTTATTGAACTCTTTTGAAAACCAAGCTTCTAGGAATTCTTTTCCCGTACCGATGTACCAGAATCTCCGTTCTATTCCTATCAATCTTATGTCCTTCATCGACTTGCACTGAGATATAGGGTGACATGTACTGATTCTCAAAATCTATTCTCGCCATTTTTGACCCACCTAGTTTTGGCGCGAAGTCCTGTAACATTTCGTCACTCATTTGCTTCCGCTTCTGGCTCTGGGAGACTGTTTCATTGGCCACTGGTTTGTGAGACGCCACTATGTGATGTGATTTGAATATTAGTATCCAAACAATTACTTAATCCGAACAAAGCATGGCTACGAACGCTTGGAATGCATATAAACGGTAGCTCCGTAACCGACAGCTTCCGTCCCTGGATTTTCTTGAGGTTCAGTATCTGCTAGCCAGCTGCTTTCTCTTACTCAATGAGGATGTCACTCAGATTGATGACGAAACTTCTGCAGTCGAATTGCTCACTTCGGAGATTCAGTCAGCATTCGATATGCCGACAGGTATTCCGACGGTTGTTCACTTTTCGCTAGCGCTTTTTGTCTTGTGTTCATCCGATCCATTTCGGAATGCTTCGATCGTTTATGCCATCTCGACAGGTTCGTATCCAACCAAGCAAACATCCGCTTCTACTTGATCGTCGTTGAGGTTGACATGTCTCAACGTACGCACTTTGTTGCTGACCGATCAACAGGCAGTACTTACCCGGAAAGTACAGACTCTATCGATCGATATCTGCTGTTTATCGAAAACCCGTGTGCAATATTCGAGCTCTACACGCTACGATCCTCCTCATGTGCCACTGGTGGTACTTCCCCATTGCGTCTATCCGGAGATCATATAGCTTTGAATGGCGGTCGACCCCGAATGGATATTATTTTCAGTTCCCGGGCTGAAGCTGCTCTGGTCGACTGTATCCTAATCAGTAGCCAGATTAGCGCCTTCTTACTGGTTGGTTTTTTCACAGATTCGAAATTGTGCGGGGTCAATACGTGCTTATTTCTCATTACTAACTACACCCCCATTAACTGTAGCGCAGCACGGATACTGTTGTGTTGGCTGATAATCTGAACGCTCAAGTTGGGAAATTCTCCGCTGCTGACCTGCATCTAGGCGGCCAACACAATGTAGGCTTCCATAATGATAACGGTAAGCGGTTGTTACACCTATTTGAAGATGCTCGTATATTTCCAGTGGACACTACTAGCACATCACACACCAAAAATGACATGGCGCCCTCTAGCCTCTGACCAACCATAGACGCAACTTGATCACATCGCGGTCGGTTACTGCTAGAGGGACTGCTTCTTAAACATCCCCAATCACGTGTGGATTCCAGTCATGTACTTGTGTGTGCCATCTCTGGGGGCGTTTCGTAGGACAACCGCGACGTTTTGAGTGCATATGCAACCGTCAACTGGCGAAGGCATGTGCTGAATGTGTTAAAGTACCTTGTCATTCGGATTGGATAAGCACTCACCAAACAGTTGGTGGTCGCATGTTCGCAAGATCTTACTGACAACAGATATGTCTTCATGTGACACATCTACTTGCCAACCTGGACCTTGGGTCTACATGCAGTCTCTAAAGCTACCAGATGCTCGCCGGCACATTCGGGCTGGAAGCAAACACAACGAGATTTCTAAATAACAGGTTTCCATCTGTCGGTGACCTAACAGATTACACGCCTTGCAATCCGAAAATCATTGGTTTGAATCGGCCTAACTGCGAGGGACCTCGCGTGATAACGAAACATTTTTATATTGTGCCGATGTATTGCTGACGCATTTCTCTTCCTTTTTGGTTGTCTTATCGTGCCTCGGAGATAAAAAAATGGGCATGTTTGCTCGGTAATCATCTGTTTGGATCTGCCCTCTTGCGCATAGATCTAACCTGGGCTCAGTCTGCTGAACTTGAATATGACCGCTGAGATACACGACCTTCCTACAGTCCTGTTCATATTCGGTGACGTGTTTGTAGATGATCTAACGATTTGTTAATAAAACATGAAGTAGAGAGCTGTTCCAACGAACTGGCGCTACCCTCTTATAGTCTCGATTTTCAGCAGGGCTCACGTTCGGAATGCGGCAATTCTACAGAGCTTCAATGACAACACAGGTTAACACCATTTGATCGGATTGTTTTACTTTCCGTTTAGTTAACTTGAGGCAGTTCGGACTCTCAACCACTTCATTAGTTTATCTCCGTCAGTCTTGTAAACCTATTTGCCAAAAGGTGCTCACTTTGCTACCGCATTTTCTTACACTCCCATTGGGATTATTTTCGGACCATAAATGCATCAGTCTGACCTCTAAGTTGATGCCTCTGTCATTCTTCACAGATTGATTGGCGCCCGTGAAAGCCAGATTCGTGAAGAGCAAGCCGGGTTTCGTCGAAGTTGGGGTTGTATTGGCCACATCTTCACGTCAATTATTTAAGCATCATGTGCAATCGTGTTCCTCGATATCACCGTACATTTACCTCTATGAATCGGTACACCATTCAAGATTGTCTGCATAGGAAGGATGTGCCCGAGAAAAACGTAAACATGAGAGCACTTTACTCACGTAGCTGGAGCAGTGTACGGGCTTATGGAAAACTGAAGCCTGCCTTCAGTCTTCAGCGGTTTAAGACAATGCCAGCAGTATCTTTCCTTTCTAAATGTTTGAACAGCATTGACGCCACTGATTTCGGTTATGAGCCATAACCTCCAAAAACTTCCAGCCATTTGGAGTCCCCATCACGTGGTCCCCAACCTAGAAGACGGACAAATCCCGATGAAGCCAGATATGCGGTGACATTCTTAATGTTCCTCTTTAACATCATCGGTTGTCCACCCCGGCATTTTCTCCGCTCACGCCCAGGAATTGCAAATAATGCTCGGTGATGAAGTCGATTGGTTGGCATGTGCATACGTGACCAGCCCAACGTAAACAGTGTTCGAGACAGATTACTCGCTCCGAGTACTCGGCTTCTAACTTCCGATGTTGCATTCTTGATGCTTCTTCACCGCAGTTGGGCTAAACCAACTTACACTTAAACTAGATCTTTTTAAGCTGGCTAAATTTCATTCCACTTTATTTGGTTTGTTCTGCCTACCTGATTAATTTATTAACTGGCAAGGTTGCTTACGCTAATTGCGCTTTTCTTCGGTAACTTTGTTGCGTTTGTAGCATTTCTAAGTAACTTGTGGACATTTCTTACTTATCGCGGATTTGTTGCTAACCAACTTACTTCATATGGTAATTTAGGGAAGAGTTATGCCACCATATCTGTATGCATTATTGGATTTATTTTATTTCTGCTCGTCGTTTCAAGTGAATAGCTGTTGCTTGATATCCCCGGTGTGGCTGCTCTTGATGTGCATGTTGACAAGGTGCCTACCTGTCTATTACCCACTACCTCGTCCATACTGGCTCTAGGAGACAGTTAGTCGTTGCTGGAAGGGACGGGGTGCACGGTCCTTGTGGCCGTGTTAGGATCAAAGAGTGGTTCCATGCACTCATTGTGGAGCGGACTACGGTCTAACCACCGCCTTGTGTGCGCTTGATTCCCCAAATACAGCGTGGTTGTGTTTGCTGTGAAGGTGTGTGGGCCGGCTCCGTTGATGAAACGTGGCTCTCATCTACATGCCTCCCGGTTTTATTCCTTCGGGTTTACACTGGATATGGGGTGTGTGGTTGGAGCTGTGGGTGGTGCAGCGCAAGCCATCCATAGTCCCTCTGTAGGCGCAGGCGTCCTGTGGCTGGCCAAAGTGACAGGCAAATCCGAAACCAGATGCCGCCAACAATAAATATATATATATATATATATATATATATATATATATATATATATATATCACCACCTTGTCTCTTGATAAGTAGCCTCAATTCGCCCGTATTTTTGTGGCTAAATGCGACAAGTCACAAGTTGTGCGTCGTATCTCTATGTTTTTTCTCTCCCGAAAATCGAGGAAATAATGACGGTCCCAGTGAACTGAGAATTAGTTTGGCCAAAGCGCTCACCTCCCTCCATAGTTTACATATTGCTCTGCCACACTATTGAGCTGTAAATACGAAGGTGTGAAAGGGGTTTTACCCTAGGTGAGTCAGTAAATGAACTGCTGCAGTTGACCACTCTTTCCCTGGATCTCAGTGCTCTCATGCGAGGTTACGCATTTTGTGTGCTGTCTCAGCTAGCGTCTACATATGTCTGGCGGCTAAATCCCTTTGGCCGTGCCGATCCGAATTCGCCTGGCTACTCTGTGAGTGAGAT